GTTGGGTGTGGCCTATTATGCTAATGAGTTCCTGCTGGGCGTGGCCAACTTGGGAGCCAGCCGGAACTCCGTTCCTGTATTCCTGCCCCAAAAAAGCCCTGAATATAATAATAATAATATATCTCTCTGCCACAATCTACTGAGGTTAGTCTTATCCGCCAGGAGGACCCATCACCACATTGGTCCATGGCAGGCAACTTTATTAGTTTGGACAAAGACTTAACTGCCACTATTCCCCCTCTCCAATCTCCACCAATCAACGCTGCATGGATGACATAAAGAAGCACCTGCGCTGCACACCATACCAACCCCCTCCCCAGCTGAGATGAGGAGAGGAGACACCCAGAGACAGCTCTGCCACTTCCCCATGAGACTCATGAGGGATCTTCTTTCTGGGGAGCTTTCCCCCCTCATGTCATCTGGAGGAAGTAATCACTGTAGGAGGACAATGCAAGGTACCAGACCTGCCTAATTTTAGGGTTATCTGAACCAAGGCTACATGAGAACAATAGGAAAATTAGGCGTGGCCTTAAAATCCCCTTAAAAATTACTGCTACATTTCTATAGTGTTAATTGTGTTCTGTCAGGGAAACCGGTCCTGATGAAGGATACAGGTTTCCTCGTGGCTATGAATAAGCTGTGATCCTTCAGGAGAGCGGCATACCATAGAGGGTGCAGAATTTAGCCTTCCAAGAATCATTCCCCCCCCCCCCCCCCTTCTTTTTTAGGATTTACAGAACATATGTTGGCAAAGATATATTTGAAAATGAAATACTTGCTAAAACCTAAAAAGTCAGATTGGTGACTCAACAGAATTTTCAGTGTTGGGAAACAGTCCCTCTCATGACCAGAAAACCAGAGCAAGATTTTTAAAGAAGAGAAATCAGAGATTTATGCACATTTGTTCAATGTATCAATGTCAGAGCTCAGCTTCTGTTATTTTACCGTAACATACAGCCCTACCCTTGCTTCTAAGAGGTCAAAACATACATCTCTCACACAAATGCACAGACTTAGTGGCTCATGCTGACTGTAATGTTTCTGCCTTATTCTCAACAGGGTAGGTGAACCATCAACAGCGGGCCACAGTTACTTGAAGTCAAAATGCAGCACTATCTAGGCTGTGACAAGGAGAACATTTACGTGCTAGTCGTAGAAAGTGCCATCAAGTTGCAGCCGACGTCTGGCAATCCCACAGGGTTGTCAAGGCAGGAGACGTTAAGAACATAAGAACATAAGAGAAGGCAATGTTGGATCAGGCCAATGGCCCATCTAGTCCAACACTGTCACACAGTGGCCAAAAATACCAGGTGCCATCAGGAGGTCCACCAGTGGGGCCAGGGCACTAGAAGCCCTCCCACTGTTGCCCCCCCCAGCACCAAGAATACAGTGCATCACCTGCCCCAGACTTTGAGTTCCTATCTATACCTTGTGGCAAATAGTCACTGATGGGCCTCTGCTCCATATGTTTATCCAGTTCCCCCTTGAAGCTGTCCATGCTTGTAGCTGCCGCCACCTCCTGTGGCAGTGAATTCCATGTGTTAATCACTCTTTGGGTGAAGAAGTATTTCCTTTTATCTGTTCTAACCCAACTGCTCAGCAATTTCATGGAGTCACCACCTTGAACAACTTTGTGTCATCTACAAATTTAGCCACTTCACTGCATACTCCCAACTCCAAATAATTAATGAACAAGTCAAAAAGCATCGGACCGAGTACTGATCCCTGCGGTACCCCACTGCTTACCACCCTCCCCTGAGAAAATTGCCCATTTATACTCACTCTCTGTTTCCTATTAATCAGGCAATTATTGATCCACAAAAGGACTCATCCTTTTATCCCATGACTATCGAGCTTACTTAGGAGCCTTTGATGAGGAACTTTATCAAAAGCTTTCTGGAAGTCAAGATAAACAACATCTATTGGGTCCCCCTTGTCCACATGTTTGTTCACCCCCTCAAAGAACACTAACAGGTTAGTGAGACAAGATCTTCCCTTACAGAACCCATGTTGAGTCTTCCTCAATAGTTTTTGTTCATCTATGTGCCTATTAATTCTTTCCTTAATAATAGTTTCCACCAACTCAGCCGGTATCGAAGTCAGACTGACTGGCCTGTAATTTCCCAGATCTCCTCTGGAACCTTGGGCTAAGTACTACATTGTCTTTTTTCAATAACTGCATATTCTATCAGTATACTTTTTCATTTGAAAAAAATATATAACAGGACTCAGAAGTGAAAAACCCTCTCCCCACAAACGTGAAAAACCTCACTGTGTAAGTGGTTAGGTTATAAGCACTGTATCATCACTTGACATCTATGCCATCACTTTAAAAAGGCCAGCCACCCACTCATGGAAAGCAGCGCTACTTCCATTTTCAGAAAGAGCATGGATGTGCTATTTCTGCTATTTGGTGGGAGCTCTGCCTTCAAAGGTCAAATACACCTGGTGCTACAGTTTCACCATATTGCTCAATACATGAAAATGTTCTTCTGTGAAGTACATGAAAAAGTAATCAAATCATCCTGACAGGCAGAGAAGGTTTTACCACTCTTCTGCTTCCTGAACACTGGCTGTAAGATGTCACATGACACTTAATGGGACAAAACAGACCATGTTGCTACACATACATACACTATGGTAAGTTGTTATTTGGTATATGTGGCTTGGCAGACCATCAAAACCACATATACCTCTAAGACAGAAAGCAACTAGATGAATAGGTAGGAGTCAAAACTGTTGTCATGAAGCCTCTGTTTTCTGTTTGCCCTCCATCTTGAGTCCAAGAACCGCTCCTCTGCTAGTGCACATATAAGAAGGTCACTTCAAGGACAAAGGGTAAAGTGAAGACTGATCTCAACACACCTTACTGAGGAATAACAGCATTCTGCAATGAGAAGCAGAGGCACACCAAGTACCAAGCAACCAAGTACTAAGCAATCAGATGAATATTAATCAGGACTGCTCAAGCTATTAATCAAGGTACATTTAGGCACAAAGGATCCTACTACATTAACACAGAGATCCATGCTCCCATCAGCATTTCTACTAAAAGGCTCTTACTTTTTAACTGATCTAATCTGCAGTAGTTGAAATTTCCCACCACAAAAGGGTACAAAAGAATACAGCAAAAAAAAAGCAAAATAATACAGAAAAAAAAACCCTGAAAGATTAGATGAAGGACTTAATTGCACCAATGATCACACATATTCAGTACGGCTTTGTAAAGTACTAGCCTCTGAACTACTGACAATGAAAGTATGAGAACAAAATTTGAGTCCAGTGGCACCTTTAAGACCACCAAAGTTTTATTTAAGGTATAAGCTTTCATGTGCACACACACTTTTTCAGGTACAATGAAATTTATTTTATTTATTTATTTATTTATTTATTTTTGAGATTTTTGTCCCGCCCTACCCAGTGGCTCAGGGCAGCTAACAACAAGTTTAAAAATTGGGTAGTTACCAGTCCATACATATAGGTAGAAGGTGGGCAGCAAATTAGCATACAGCATAATGAAGATATTTAACAGATGCAAGGACCAAATAGGAACAACAAGCTTACTACCATTTGTTTGGGTTTGATTCTGGATGAAAACATAGTGAAGGAAATAAATATGTCAAAATTGGAGACTGATGAGCAAATGTATCCTTAACTGTGGAATGCTGAGATTTAAGTTGTGTCAAGATGTCTAAACAACAAACAAACGTAAATATAAGCTATATTCATGTCAGAATACCTGAGCATCTCAGATTTATTTTTTTAATTTAAGCAAACATTGTCTTTCAAATATGTCCTCAGTATACTCCTTAAATAAGCACACTACTCTAAGGGTACAAAGATGAACCCAAGTGCAGCTCAGTGTAACTGAAATGAAGATGCTGAACAAATCTAGAGAACTGAAACAGTCAGTTAAAGGAGGCAATTCATGTTCTAAAAAATGGGAATGCAGATATAGTAGTTATCAACTATAACCAGGGGTCATTTCGTAGAAAAAGAGGTACAGGAGCTCATTAGCATAACTTATTTGCATATGCCACACCCCCTGACCTCACCGGAAGTGTGTCAGAAGGCAACACCCACCGCTCAGGCTCCACTGGACTGTTTTGGATTCCTAGCTATTGGGGGGGGGACGTGCAGATCTGTCCTCACAGAGGAGGGAGAGCTTGTACCTGAATAAAACTTGGTCTTAAAGGTGCCACTGGACTGTTTGGGACCAGGGGGCCGGGGGGGCTCTGCAACTTACCTGGCTGCTTCTTGCTCTGACTGAGGGCTGCTGGGAGCAGGGGGTGGGGCTTGTTGCATGTTCCCCCCTCCAGGGCTCTTTCCTGCCAGAGCTCCGCTCCTGTGCGCTCCTGCAGGAAATGACCCCTGACTATAACAGCTTCTTACAATACTTTTGTACTCCGAAAAGAAGCTGATTCAGCGCACAGTTGGATACAAGAAGCTGGACATGGACAAGCGGGAACACCTGAACTCTTGATCCAGTAGCCTACACCCTACTTTTTAGTTTCCGTGCCTCCAGTTCTTATCCATAGTTCCCTGACCTGCATGTTAGTCTGTATCCCTTATGGTGGTATGAAAGTCATCAGGATTTCTAATTCTCTACTTTAGCTGTTATTTCTTCAAGCTGAGGCTCACAGAGAAAGCTATTTGCAAACACTCAGTACAGATAACACTGCAACAAATGTAGAACTAAGAAAAGAGTCACTTGAATTACTGAAATCCCCATGACTACATCCAAATCAGTTCCCAATTACCTATCTGTTCAACTAATGTTCTCACTAACAGACAGGGGAACTTAAAAATGCAAAATGCGGGGGGGGGGACTTGGATAGGAAAAGAAAAGACAATTGGGGGGGAGAAGTCATCAAGAAGGGATCGATTGAAAGGTAGAGTATCAGCAGTGTTAAGTAAAAAAAATCTGAATTGTAAATCTTAGCTAACACTGTATTAATCTAATTACCCTAATACGTGAAGTAATCAGCTTACTTTCTTACCATTGTAGGTTATCCTTGGTTTTGTCAAGCACATCACAAGATGTAAATCCATTTCATCTGAAGATACAAACTTGGAACAAACAGGGCACTTGAATCCTAGAGTGAAGGGAAAATATTGTTAATTCAGAAAAATAATGACAACTTCTTTCTCAATTGATACTCATGCTATAGCTAAAGCAATACAATTAGGATTTTAAATTATTGAGCACAGGTATTAAAGCATAGAACTGATTCATGAGTCCGGTATTCCTTCCTAAGAGAAAATCTAGTCTGCAGAAGAACACTTGTGCCATTGACACAGTATCGCAGACTGGACAGCCATACAGCTGTCTATAGAAGACGCTCCATTCAGCACTACATTAGGCCTAACACTGGCAACAAAGTGGTTGATAAATTATTGTGTACTAAATGGGTAACCAACCATGTATCAACCCTACCATTCTCAAACAGAAAGAAGTACCAAGTACAAGAAGACCTAGATATAAAAGTGATGACAGAAAGTCAAAATCTGTTTCAATCACTACCTTTCTCAGAGGTAAAAGCAATAATGATAATCCACATTTAAAGTCTCTTTGGATCAGACTTCTGTACACTACCTCCTATATTGCCTAAACAAAACATAATATTTTAAAAGTATGAATGTTAGAAGTTGTACTTTCAACTGAAAGTTGTTCAAAAACATTCAAGAACTCATTTCAAATATCCTAACTCTATTGACAACACTCAATACATGTAAAAAAAAAACCCAAAAAAGAACTCCCCAAATGATTTCAGAGAACCCATGTGCCAAACCATTTCCAAAAACCAAGAGGAAAATAAAAGCCAACATTAAAAAAAGACAGAACAACCTTGTCTTTCCCCTTTCAGTATCCAAAAAGGAGGAGCTACATAAGCCAGATCCTCAGTCATAGAATTACAGAATCAAAAAGATGGAAGGGGCCTAAAGACCATCCAGTCCGGCCCCCGCAGTGTGCAGGATGACCTAAAGCATCCCTGAGAAATAATAACCCAAACTCTTCTTAAACATTTCCCACAACATCCCTGGTTAACTGATTCCACCACAGAACTGTCCTTATCGTTAAAAAGGTTTTCCTAATATCCCACCGATATCTCCCTACCTGTAATTCTAACCCATTTTTGGAAGTCCTATCCCTCCACTACCAACACACCCTACCCTCTTCTAAATGACCGCCCTTCCAATACTTGAGTAGTCATATCCCCCTTCAACCTCCTCTTCTCCAGGTTGAACATTCCCAGTTCCCGCAGTCTTTCTCTGTAAGGCTTAGTCTTATACAATATGCACATATTTAAAGTTACAGAACAAAAAAGTAAAAGAATCATAGCATGATAGATGAGTTACTTTGAATGAATGGGGATAAACCTAGCCTATCATTCAGCCCTTCACGATACAATGTACTCAAGGCAGGAATCCAAAATGTCTCTTTCTGAGGATACAGTTTCTTGGTATCAAGATAAGGATGTGTATATTTAGCAACAAGAAAAAAGAAAAACCAGCTGCTGTTCTTTTTTGGGTGTCCCTCTAAAAAAATAATTAAAAAATCTAGACATCAGTAAGTCAGACTGATGTTCTCCAAGAAGAAAAGAATTGTATTTGATGTGTAAAGACTGACTGATTATTGCCTAGATGCAGAAGAAATGGTGTAAAAATGAATTATCTTCAGGGGATTTAATACACAATTTTACTTCCATTTGCAATTTTAAACATGTACTTCTGTGTTAAGAAACACTATCCTTCTATGAGTACAAGAACATTAAATAATTGGATGGAGACTGCTGATCCAATTCAAAGTTACAATGAATGGCTCTGAAAAAATGTCATTAATATAAGCGAAGATACAGCCTAAACTGTGTCAAAACACCCAGCTGGAAGACTGGAAAGTAAATCTCTTCACAAGTTAACATGGATAAATACGTGATATTAAGCGATACAGTACTACCCATAATCATACTAGGGATGCAGTAAAAGAAGTGATTCTGAAAGTGAAAATAATTCTTCTCCAACAGTGTATCAAGTAATTTCATGAAAAAATAGCGCACAGCATTAAATTCTCCCTTCATCAAAAAAAGATTCAGCTACCAGACAATCCTCCTTGCAAGGTATATACCTAGTGTTCCTTTAACGGTCAAAACAAAATTTTGTCTTTGATGAGAGACTTCATAGCTGAGAGAAAGAGAATTATCTGACAGTCAATAAATATAGCTAATGGCTCAAATATGCAAGTAGAGCTGAACACAACTGATCTTCTTGGAAGATCTTTCATCATTCTGAATGTTGGCCATTCTAAGTAACAGGAACCAAAGAAACATAATTAAAAATGAGGACACCACCAATTCACTATGTGTCCCAAAGACAGACTCTCATATACCACTGTCCTAATAACTGAAAGTATATGTTTACTAAAGTTATTTCCAATCAAGCTATAAGAAAACACATCACTCAACAGTTTTTCAGCCTCATATATTAGTCAAATATGTTCTGAATAACCACTGGCCCCACCCCTATCAGCTGGCTTTATTGCAAGCGACCAATGCTTAGTGAAATCCTCCAAGGTAATATGTGACATACCGCTCTATGAGCCAGTTCCATTTGAATTGCAGTAGCCTCTAAAATTCCTTTCCCTAGACATGCATGAATTTCTCTAATAGGGATAGGCACAAATGGAACCACAAAGCAAAATTCATCATGAATTTTGCCCTGTTCATGGTTCACAAACAGAAGTTCGTGATGGGTCTACAGTCATGAACTTCCATAAACTTTTAAAGCAGTTTGTGGTGGTTCATGGATGGAGCAGAAAACAAGGGTTTAAAGGGACTCCGAGTCCCTTTAAACCGCTGCTTTCTGTTCTTCACAAAAGCCACAAAAACAGCTGAGCAGCAGGGAGGTGCTCCCCGTTGCTCAGCTGTTTCAGGCTTTGTGCAGGCCCTTTAAAGGGACTGCAAAAGACAGCCCAAAAAACAGCTGAGCGCTCCCCACCATCTGAAGCAAAATAGTATCTCTTAACAGTTTCAACAGGAATAGAAACCTAAAGACTGCTCAAGGAACCACAAATACAATCACGAAAAAATTAAAGTACTAACCAGAAATTTAATTATTGGGACCCGAAAGGAATACCAAGTATATTCCATCAGCAAAGAACAAAGTTGTAAAAGCTGCCAGCAAAACAGGAGGCACTGAGTAACTCCTTAATGGTACCAAGCTGCTTCCCATACTGGAATGCAGCAGGAATGCTATCATATGTGGTGGAGCAAAGGCATTGCTACAAACCCAGCCACACCATTCCTGTTGCATCTTGTAAGGTATATCACTTTACACTCCCTGTAAAATCTCCTCAGTGGACAGCTGGTTAAAAGGAAGCAGAGAAAGCCAAGCCAGGGAGACTACTGGAAATGCTGGTTGGCCAGCCAAAATCTGTGCAAGCCTGGCTAAGAGAAGTCCTTCTCATTTGTATCCTTGACAGGGGAAAAAATGGAGCCTATCTAGCCTACCTAGTAAAGGCAATAGAGGCTAATCCCATTTGTGGCCCTGCTGTAGAGACAACTGTCTCAGTATACCGACCTGAATACAGTGGCTCCTCAAGCTACCTGTGCTGTAGAAATGATAGTATACTACATAACACTTTCCCTTACATAATAAGAAAAGTGGTCCAGTATATGAATATCCAGTAGTTTACTACGATACCTTTCACTTAGCCCAAGAGATTCATCAAGATTTCCCCCCAGTTTGACCTAAACTAATTCTAAGTTTGGGATATCAGCTGTCACAACATACTTCTGGCCAGTATAGTGAGGGAGAGATACTTTCCACTTGAAAAACAAGTAGGTAAGACACATATGGCATAGAGAGGCACTTGGACAAGTCTTCTGGATCCTCCAGGACTGAGAGAATATAGAGTAGCATTCCTTTAAATGAAGAGAATCCTGTTCCAATCCACAAAACCAAATCTAAGACCCCATCCCTCCACTTCAGTCTCTTGCCTAATGTCAATTGATTAGTATATGCATTCCTCTATAGGCAACAAGAAGGGAATCAAAAGCCAGACACCGGGGGGAGTATTAAAAAGTGATACATTTTATTTTTAAGTACTACCATTTCAGGCTCAACTATTGCAAGCCCTACACTAAAATCCTGAACCTATAATAACAAAAATCATTCAACAGATTAAAAAACATGGTGAATAGAACACAAATACACTTCAAATATGTGCTTCAAAAACTCAGTTTCAAAGGTCACCTTATAGTTTTCAGTTCATTTGTACGCTTTCTGTACTTGTATATAATCAGATCATAAGCAGACTTAAAACTTCTCTGCACAAACAATTAACTGCATAAAACCAAGTGTTCTTAAATAGAACAACTTGTAAATTGGAGGTTCTATTCATTCATAGTTGCCATTTTCAGTTTGCAAACCATTCCCCTAACTTCTACTTGCAGTTTTATCCCAGGAACTTAGTACATGGCATCACAGTAATTCAGAACTTACGTGCCAATTTTTGTGAAAAATTGTAGCCATATATTCATCCTCTTAGAGTCTTGTCCACCATAGCATGTCTCATGAATTGAGCCTGAATGCCTCACATGTTACAATACATCTGAAATAATTTCATTCCGACAAATACTGTGCATGCACCCTTCATAAATGGGGATGGAAGAGATGTCAGAAATTGTTACTGTTATCACTTTGCATGTCAAGAATTCTCTATCAATACCCTAGACTGACATTCATTGCTCTTTGGAGGTAGGGGAAGATCATTTAGGATGAAGTATACTCTTGAGAGTCCCTTGGACTGCGAGGAGATCAAATCAGTCAATCCTAAAAGAAATCAACCCTGACTGTTCCCTGGAAGGCCAGATACTGAAGCTGAAGCTCAAATACTTTGGCCACCAAATGAGAAGGGAGCACTCACTGGAGAAAACCCTGATGCTGGGAAAGACTGACGGTAAAAGAAGAAGGGGATGGCAAAGGATGAGATGGTTAGACAGTGTTATCGATGCAGTGAACGTGAAATTAAGCAAACTCCGGAGGACGGTGGAAGACAGGAGCGCCTGGCGTGATATGGTCCATGGGGTCACGAATA